CTACCCCTACCCATCACTACTACAAATATTTGCAGTAGACCAAATAGTAGGTCTGTTTGCTGTAGCTAACTCAATTGAATAATTAGTTTGCCCCATAAAACGAGATTATAAAATGTAATCAGAACGCCTTCTTTGAAATACACGTTTTACTTCATTCTTTTCCGTGTTGAGTGCTGACATTTCCCATAAACATGATGTTATAAGTTTGTCTATGCAGTTTCAAGGAACTCGGATACACATGTTTGTACACAAAGTTTTATCTCTCACTTCTTACACGAAGTTCCCATCGCGTTGAGCTGTGGGAAAAACACTCTGATCGTCTTTGTGATTAGAAAGAAACACGTGGAGACCGGGACACAGGAGCTAACTGGCGCCCTCTGCTGGACAATTGGCGGAATAACAGTAGATATGTAGAAAGGTATTCGACCGACTTTAATCTTTATTTTTTTGCTATGGACAAAGGTAAAAACAAATATCCTTTTTTTTTCTACATAATTCAAGTTACTCATTCAGGTGTACGCTATTTAGTATTTAGTATTTGGTCTGCTTCTGGGACCTGGTGTCACCCATGTTATTTTTTTCCCAATTTTTAAACACTATACTTACACACCACATTTGCCAAAGCACAATCCACATTAATACTATTATCCATAATAAAGAAGACAGCCCATTTAAATGTCTTGACCTCATAACAAATTCTATAGTAAAATTCATAACTGTTGAGCTTGTATTAGCATTACAGTCCCTTGAACTTCAATTCTACAAAAATATGTTGAACATAGAATCTTTTACCTCCCACTTCCATAAAAAAATAGACTTAGAGATTTATTATTATGATTACTAGTGCTGTAGTCAAGACTGCACTAATCAAAAGCATGACCTGTTCGAGACCACAGGGTCCCGAGACCAGGACAAGACCAAGACCTCTGAGGATCGAGACCAAAACAAGACCGAGACTTTTAAAGGCCAAGAGCAAGACAAGACCAAGACCGTGGCCCATCAAGACCACATCAAGACCATCTTTATAATTTTGAACATTTATTTATATTTATGTGTTATTTACAGTTATTTTGGCACATATATATCAGTTCAAGACCAAGTCCAAACACGCTCAAGTGAAAAAAATTGTCTCGAGGCCAGTCTAGAAACCAAGGCCGGTTTGGAGTACAACACACTAATGTTTCCCACCATGGTGATGAACAATTTTAAACTAAATATTATATTGTGTGAATGAAGAAACCATCCTCACAATGGCAAATAACAAGATGCTGAAACCCATGGATACAATACAATAGAATAAAAGATTTCTTCTCCTGTTTTCTCTGCTGAATTTGAGCAAGATACAAATTCATTAACCAACTACATTCCTACAACGGATGTAACAATAACTGAAATATGGTGATATTGTATTGTCAAAAGTCTCACAATAATACCCAATCACAAGTTTCTATGTTATGGTGCAGAATAAACAAAACAAAACAAAACAAAAAAAAAACTGAGAGAACCACAAATACCATGATCCTTTCCTCTGAGTCCAATCTACATGATGAAATAAATGTTATGAAGCAGTTTTAAATCTTAAGTATTCAGATTATGATAGAAAATAGCATATTCACAATTTTGTTAGTCTATAAAAATGAGTTACTTATCGTGAAAATATGATATCGAGAGATTTGGAGATTGCCACATTATATAACAGTTTTAATGACCACAGTCTACAAGAAGTGTAAAAGTTGTATTTCCTGTAACAGCCCGTTCATTTCTGGAAAGCAATAACTCACTCTCTGCTGTAATCTCGTGAAATTGCATTATGGGAAATGTAGTTCATTGTTTGACCTGGATTTAAGAGCTCTCACTCCAGCGTCAGTAATAACACAAAAACAATCCCATTCACATGACCTTTGACCTGTCAGATGAGGAAACACCTCGAGACCAGCTTCAGTCGATAAGTCATTATTACCTGACTCCAAATCTACATAATCTATATTTTAATCTATATATGTGATAATCTTTACGAGTCGTATCTGTCATTATTGGCAGTTTGAACACATTTTATTACATTTTATGATTTTTATATAGGCTAACAACTATGAAAGTTTTATACCTGAATAGTGTTAAAGGGCCGATATTACACAAAATGGACTCTTGTGAGCTTTAAGTTATGTTATAATGTTGTTACTTTATTAAAAACATACCTGGAGTTGTGTTTTGTTTGAGTAACAAGTTTGAGTTTGTCATTAGTCTGTCCTCATCTCCAAAGCTCAATATGCTCTGTTCCACCTTGTGATGTCATAATGTCGTACACTGAAAAAACGGTCCGAGAGGGGTTGCTCAAATTGCAAAAACAAATTTGACAACAATAACATCACTTTTTTACATTTCTCTGTCAAGCATGTTTAAATCTTACAAACATCGTTTCATTGTGGTCGATGTGAGACCTGCATGTTTTAATTAGTTTGAGGAAACATGACTTTATTATAATCTCTAGTGAGGCTCCTCCCTCTGGAATTCTCCTCCCCAAAACTTTTGGAGGGAAAATTCAAATGTAACAGGACACAGGACAGTTAGATGAGCAGAGGACACACAGTGTGGAGCAGGAGGATTATGAGAGCTGATCTGGAGGTAAGACTTTTCAAAGATTTTATTATGTGCTTCTCCGGCCTAGAATGTCGTCATTGTTAAAACATGTTTGTGTTGTTTTATTTGATATTAGAGTTAATGTAAGGACAGCTTGAAACAAATTGTTTTTGACTGTCCATCTACAAGAGTGTGACACTTGTACTAAGATTTGAATGTGTTGCTTCCAGAGTCGTCTACAAAGAGTGACGTCCAGAGCTCTGCTGGAGCTGTGGGGAAGTTCATGAATGTTATAGTTGATGTTTCAGAAAAAAGGAAGATGTTTGAGAACCAACAAAACACAGACCACAGATGAACAAAGTAAGTAAACCAACTAAAATTATTTTAAAATTTTTCAAAATGAACTTCCTATTGAAACTGTTATCTTACTTGTACAAGGTGATGTGGCACTAGGAGACTTTATACCAGATGCCCTCCCTGTTACTGTGTTTAGAGGAAGAAAAGCAGCACATGGTGAGTTTTGTTTCTGCAGATACACTTCTAATGTTCTTGTGATTCTGTTCTGGTCCATTATTGTAGTAATAATTGCTATAAGTGTATTTAAACATGTAGAACAGAGTAGATCATCAGAATGTGATCATCATGTGTTATTCTGTGTCCACAGGCAGAGACCAGAGCTTCTTCACTGGAATAAATCTTCACACTGTCCAGCTCCAAACTGTGTGTCTCTGTCCCTGTGCTCTCTTTGTGTTTGATTCTGTTTAAGACAATACAGAACTGTGGAAAACTAAAGACTGTTTTTGTATTCTTTTACAGAATTAGATCAATTAAATTAAATTATACATACTTATACATTTCATGATAAGGTACCATAAGATAAATATGCATATTCAGCATGATTTGTTCAAATTTTATCAACATGAAAAAGTGATGTTCATGTTCCGAGAAAAATATGTGTAGAGGGGTTCGAAAAAAAGTTTCAAAGCCTAAACATAATTTTATTGCGCGCAACCGCTTTCCATAACTTTTTTACTTAAATCCAGCAACTTTTTTTTTTCAGTGTAATTTTACCTTTAGTTCAGTAGAGATTTGCAATTCCAGGTCTGAAATTATCCAGTTCTATTGAAGGTGTATGGAATTTAAAAGCACACTGGAGCCCTTCCTGTATTACCACGTGACATCACAAGGTGGAACTGAATGTTTTCTGTTTGACTGAGAACTAAATAGCAGAATTTCAGTGTTAAACATGTGGGAATGAAACGAAACACAACTCTAGATCTCTCTAAAATGTCTGGGATAGTGTCAGGCAGTTGGTTACCCATGATTCTTAGAAGCAATGTTGCTGATTAGACAAGAAAAAGGAGGCCCTGTATTGGTTATAACCCAAGAAAATGCTTTTTTTTTTTTTTGTTATTTACGATATAGTGCATGATTTAAATAACACTTATCTTGACAAGAATATATTAAAATCAGGTACAGGCCCTTTAATATTTTCCTTCTATGCCAAATAATTCTTGTAATACCAAAACTGCATTAGTATTCTCTTCATTCCCCATGGACACAATGAATAACCCATTAACGTATGTGTAATTATTTACCTGACTAATATTGTCCTGTAGAGTGTGATGTAGATTGGATCAGACAGGGAGAGGTGAAGATCTGATTAGTTTTGCCAGAGCAGTGATAGCTTCATTAACTTCATATCAGTACCATTAATACATCGGGATAAATGTGATAATTATTATGATCGCTGAAGCTGCTGTCGTGTCTCTTAAACTAAAAGTGACTGAGTTTGAAATGATTAAAAAAAAAATTCAAGTCTTGTTTTTCCTGTATTTCTTGTGGCACCTGTGTTTTAATCACACGAGGCAGAGATGAAGTGAAGCTCTCGCCATGAAACTCTGGAATGTATGTGAGGTTCAATCAACTCTGAAATCTGAAAAAAAAATAAAACTCACAAAATTAATAAAATGATGAGAGTGCGTTCACATTGTGTTCTGAAGGATTTGGTCTTGGTTTTAGCACAGTTTAGTCCCATGTAGACTTGGTTTAGTCCTGTTCTAGTCCTAGTTTAGGCCTGGTACATGCAATTTAGGTTTAGTCCCGGTTTGGACGTGGTATAAGCATCTGTGAACCCTTAAAATCTGAATTTCTTTGGGTCTTATAATGAAATGATGCTGGTCTGAGTTACCTGCAAAGCTTTATTTTTGTTTTCTTTGTATTTATCACACAAACCCTGCATATGAGTTAACCTCTCAAACTGTAAATAATACAAATAATATGATATCACGTCATACAGATGTCATACAGGAAGTGCTCCATTGTGTTTTTAAACTCCATACACCTTCATTAGAATCATTTGGATAATTTGAGCCTGGAAATTGTCATCTCTATTGAACTAAAGGTAAAAGGAGCTGCTAACCTGAAAACTACTACTACTAGAGCATTTTGAGCTTTGTAGATGTAGACCAGACCTGGGCACTGAATTACAAAATAAACATATTTTATAATTGTTACCTCATGCATGGACTAAAGCTGCATTGCTTTTATTTTTAAGGTGTTTTTTTAAAATGACATTTTCTCTACTGCTTCTGTTATTGCTGCTGCTACTACTACTACTACAGCTGTTACTACTACTGCTACTACTACTATTACTGCCACTGTTACTACTGCTACCACTACTGCTGTTACTACTACTACTATTACTGCTACTGCTACTACTACTACTACTATTACTTCTGCTACTATTACTGCTACTGTTATTGCTGCTGCTACTACTACTACTACTGCTACTATTACTACTACTACTTTGACTACTACTACTACTACTATTACTCCTACTACTACTACTACTACTACTACTATTATTTGCAATTGCAACTACAACTACTAGGTCTACTATTACTACTACTATTACAACAACAACAACAACTACAACAACTACAACAACTACTACTACTACTACTACTACTACTACTGCAACTACAACTACTACTAACTACTACTACTACTAGTGCTACTACTACTACTACTACTACTGCAATCGCAACTACAATAACTAGGCCTATTATTAATATAACTATTACTACTACTGCAACTACAACTACTAGACCTACTATTACTACTACTACTACTCCAACTACAACTACTATTACTACTACTATTACTATTACTACTGCTATTGCAACTACTACTATTACGCCTACTACAACTACTACTTCTACAACTGCAACTAATGTTACTACTGCAACTAGGCTACTAATTTACTAACAATTACTACTACTGAACTCACTACTACCCCTACTAATAATACTACCTGTATACAACAACACCTCCCATCACTACTACAAATATTTGCAATGCTGCTGTTACTGCTACTGCTATTACACAAGCCTCACTTTTTCATTGCTTAGTCATAACATAAACTCTTACCAGTTTGACCAGCTCGTCAAAACTATGTTATTTACTGCTTTTTATAAAGAAATACAATTAATATTATGCAGAATTGAGTTAAGCATTTTGGTCCGGCCCTCTACAGTATTTTCTGTTTCTCATGTGGCCCCATGTAAAAAAAATAATTGCCCACCCCAAATGTGTGAATGAAACAAAACGCAGCTTCAGGTCTGTTTTTGAGGAGGTAACAACATTATAACATGGCTAAAAGCTCACAAGAGTCAAGACTGTTTAATGTAGGAGGAAACAAGCGCAGAAAAACAAATTTTGTGTCATCCATGCTTGTTAAAGATGCACAAGGCTTTTAGAATAACTGGTAACTTATTTAGAAATACATGGTTTTCAAGTAAACAAACTTTGATCGACAGTAATGTATGTGTATTGAGGATTTCAGAGCCCACACAACATTTGGACCAGACCACTTCCTCTGCATTTCAATTAGGGTTTCCCCTGACGACTAATCAGCATGCATTACAGGTCTATAGAAAGGGGCACAACCTGGTGGAGCGTCTATGGGAATCTGCCCACAGTAGCAGAAATGGGTCACAAAAAGCCCACAAAGGGAGGGTCAGAGAGCGTACACCTGCGTCCAGTGTGTGAACCTGAACAAAGGGGCAAGAACACAGCTATTTGTGTCACAGAGGCTAAACCCCGCAGCAGTGACCTTTCAAAATGGCGTCCGGGAATGCCATCTGTGTGCGGCGCTGGAGCGGGTACAAATGTAGAGCTAAAGGCCAGGTCATGTGACACAGAGCAAAACCATGGCAACAGTGAAACAAACGTCATTGGCTTAATTTGGAGGAACTTTTTGACTTGTCGTGTGGCAAACTGGTGACAGGTTAAAATGTGTTTTGTAATCTACGGTGATGGTTAAAAGTGCACTATGGAACTTTTCTGGTGGTGAATAACTGCTTTTTTCATGCTATTGCTTTGCTTGGAATGTTCCACACTATGGCATTAAATACTGTTTAGAATGTATTTATTACTTTGAAAATTTTAAGCCCTGATCGTCTAAAAATATTTTGGATTTAACAGCATCAAAACAACAAAAAACTTTTATTAGGTTTTAACCCAGGTCTGAATCAACTAACTAAAATAAATATGAACATATCGCATCACTTCTGTCACTCTGCCCCAGGACAGCTGTGACTTCAAGAATGAAGTAAGTAACATCAGCAGCAGCAGCAGCATTAATAGTAGTAGTAACAGCAGTAGTAGTAGTAATAGTAGTAGCAACAACAGTAGTAGTAATACTACAGCAGTAACAGTAGCAGTAGTAGTAGCAGAAGTAATTGCAGTATAATAGTAGTAGTAGCAGCACTAGTAGTAGTAATAGAAGTAGTAGTAGTAGAAGCAGTTGTAGTAGCAGAAGTAATTGTAGTAATAGTAGCAGCAGTAGCAGTAGTAGCAGCAGTAAAAGTAGCAGAAGTAATTGTAGTAATAGTAGTAGCAGCAGCAGCAGCAGTGGCAGTAGTAGTAGCAGAAGTAATTGTAGTAATAGTAGCAGCAGTGGCAGTAGTAGCAGCAGTAAAAGTAGCAGAAGTAATTGTAGTAATAATAGTAGCAGCAGCAGTAGCAGCAGCAGTGGCAGTAATAGTAGCAGAAGTAATAGTAGTAGAAGTAGTAGTAGTAGTAGTAGTAGTAGTAGTAGTAGTAGTAGCAGCAGCAGCAGCAGTAATAGTAGTAGTAGTAGCAGCAAGTAAGTAGTAGTAGTAAGTAGTAGTAGTAGTAGCAGCAGCAGCAGTAATAGTAGTAGTAGCAGAAGTAAAGTAGTAGTAGTAGTAGTAGTAGTAGTAGCAGCAGCAGCAGCAGTTACAGTAGTGGTATATGTTTTGGAAATCCCCTTCTGCTAAAGGGGGCGTGTCTGTTTTTGATGACATCACCTGTAAAGTGTGTGTGTAAACAGTGGCTCTGTGACGAGATGACGCTAGAGCACACATCAGATGCTAGAGCACACATCAGAGCGCTGTTTAGAGATAATAGAGCAGCGAGGGGGTGGGTCCTGGCAGCGGGCAGCCATCTTGGACAGGATCCCAAACATTTGTCTTGATCTAAATGAAGGAAGCGCTCTGCCCACTTTGAGAAGAGACATGATCATTTAGAAACACAGCTCTGCCTCTGACTCCTGCGATGTCCTTGAATGAGCTTTAGCAGTCAATAGGAGAAAAGGCCTGTCCATATGAAAGGCAATGGGGATGTGTTTATTAATGGAATGTTGCCATAGCAATTAAGAATTAAAGAGGGAGCATTATACAAAATCAACTTTTTGGAGCTTTCTACCATGTTATAATGCTGCTCCCTCATCAAAAGCATGTCTGAACAGGTTT